AATGCAGCTCAATGTTAATATGATTATAATTTGATGGGTAAAAATAGCAGATGGCGGATTTTTTATGCTGTCCGTCAAAATGACGGAGAACAAAAAAGTCCAGCGCTGGTTGTACATATTTAAGCTTCAGTGTTTTTATGTGGAAATATCACCTCTCATATCCGAACTTCGTCTTTGTAAAAGCCTTCTGCTTCCTCCGCGGTATCAACTAGTTCCTTGATTATGTTTTCTGTATCCCAGTGTTAGTTCATTCAGAACCGTTCAGTTAGCAAACCTGCAGGTTCCGAGATGATTCGGGTTTTCCAGCTGGTGCCCGGCAGTCTGAGCTGATGATCGGCCTCTTCCGCCTGAAGGGCGACGCTGTTTATTTCCGCTCGTCTCTCTCTGATGCTGAACCGAAGATGTTTTACTGCAGACTCTCAAATGTTCAGCTACACAGCAGAAACCGCTTCCTAATCGACGATAAACGAGGAAGTCTAGAAGCTAACGATGCTAACATCTCGTTCGCTTCCGCTGGAAGTCCCACACGTAGACTTCCCCCAGAAACAGTTCACATCATTTTAGTTCCGCCGCGGCTTAGAAATATTTTTCCCCTAATTGTTTTTCTTTTATTTTGTTTGCTTGTTTTTGCTTCATCTAAACAACAAAAAAGTTTTTTGGTTGTTGAACAGAGTGTCCCATCCACACAGAGACTGACGGCTTCCTTATTTTACTTTATAGCACATTAAAATAATATTAACAGACAATCAAACATGAATACATTTAAAGCATGCTTCTTTTTCAGAACTGTTATATATTTGGTGTATGTTCAAATTATACATTTATTTCTATATTAGTAAGAAACTCTCTAAAGGACTTCAAGAATAAAATGAGACAAGAAATATTTTGCAAATATAATTAAATTAATATTAAAATAACACAAAATCAGTTATTAATTAAATAATGCTTTCTTGTTTAGAAAGCATTATAGAACTAGAGAAAACGACTTTCTGGTCATGTCGTACAGTACGGAGCCTCCTGGGGGACGTAGAGATTTTTCTTTTGCGTTCCCTCACAATATGCTTACCGCAATATTTGCTGGTCTAATTTTTTATGCAGTCACAATGTCAATTTAAAATGTAAAATTTAAAGAGCCTCAGTGAAAACGTGTTTATTCTCTTTGGTGCAAAAAACTGATTGAAAATCGATTTATTCCCTGCATGTTTGTGTCTGCTTGTATAAAGCTGGGATGGAAACGGCCCTTTAAACCAGGGGGGCCCAGAGTGGGTCCTGGAGGGTCAGAGTGGGTCCTGGAGGCCCAAAGTGGGTCCTGGAGGCCCAGAGTGGGTCCTGGAGGCCCGGCATCCTGCATGTTTTAGTTCTCTCCCTGGTGGTAGTGACAACCTCTTCAGCAAGTCGATGTTCTGCTTAGGCCTCTAACGAACCATCATTTGATGCAGGTGTGTAAAACCAGGGAGAGACTAAAACATGCAGGATACCGGCCCTCCAGGACCCACTCTGACCCTCCAGGACCCACTCTGACCCTCCAGGACCCACTCTGGGCCTCCAGGACCCTCCAGGACCCACTCTGGGCCCCCCTGGTTTAAACCATTCAGACCAGCAAAAGAGACACAATCAAAACTGTCAGAAATAGTCCAAATAGTTTGGATATATTTTTATTTCTTTCCTTCTTATGGAAAGTTTCTTTTTATGTTGTAGGTTTGTGGTGAATTTCTGTCCTAAAGAAAAAGATATAAAACTTCAGACATTTCACAACAAGACATTAACATACATGAAAAAACCTCAGAAAAGCCTCATGTTGTAGCAGAAAGTACGATGGCCACCGTGAGAAAGGCTGAGTTGGGTTATAACACATGAACTGATCAGAACTCGTAGAGTATCAGCAGCCAGAACCTTAAAGACAAATACAGACCCTTCATTAGCATAAATATCTGATGTATTTATCATTTCACAGACCAACCGGTTTAGGAAACAATGTAGATTACATGTTATTATTATACTCAGGTGAAAATAAGAATGGAAATTAACTGAATGATTGAAGATTTTCAGCTTCTCAAAGGTTCAACGTTTGAAAGTTTTCAGTAAAAGTCACCATCCATAAACCTGCAGCTTTAAAAGTAAAAACATGAAAAAGATCATTTTCCGTCTGATTTCCAGTTTGATGAGGAGCCGTAGATAATCATTAGCAACAGTCTTTGTCCACTGCGGAGACGGATGAACTTTAACCTCCAGGGTTTATGACAGGGATGATGCTTCTGTTACATAATCTGAGTCTTAACAATAAAACGTTTTTATAAATGTGTGTGAAACTTATTAACATAAAACTAAGAGTATCCACATTTGTCTCCAACTACAGCTACACAGGAAAAATGTATCAGTTCTCACTGGTGATAAATATATTCAGCAAAAATTATTTCAGAACTTTAAAGGACTTTAAGCAATAATTGAGAATTATCCTTCAAAAATGTATTTTTCAGTAACTTTAAAAGTTATCTTGGAAAATATGACAACAAAAAGGATAAGAGTTTATTCATAAAGTTACATTTTAAATACTTAATAGGTCCAAGTCATCTAAAACTTGACACACTGAATAGCAAATCGTGTTTCTTGTGAACAAAGTAAAACTTTATTAAGACAAAACTTTGCCAAATGTTAATACTTTGCATAAAAAACTCAGAATGAAACACAGCATCAGGATTAAAAAACAGTATTAGTTGATTTACATGATTCAGGAACGGATTCATTCAGGCTGGAGCAACAGACCTGATTTTAATGAATCATTAAAATGTATTTAACCTCCTGCTGGTTTGGCAGAAGGAAACATTTTATTTCCTGCAGCAAGTGGAAGATGATCTGAGTGGAAAAGATAAAACATGGTTGATGTTATTTATCACAACTTTATAATTAATGCTTTAGCTGATCAGTGCAGTAACCATTCTCTAGCTGAAAACAAACATTTAAACACAGTGTTGGTAAAACTAAAGGAGGGAATTTACAACAGAGACAGTGGTGGAGAGTTTTAGCCCAACAGACTAACATCACTAAGCTGGACGTCTCCAGTCCAAACGCTCTGATCAGGTATCGATGAGGCACTTTGTTATCCGGACCAGTCTTTGTTTTTCGCTCAGCCCATGTCGGTACGGGACACTTTTCATGACACCAGGTTCTGCAGCGCCTCAGTCTGAGCCGATTCTAATGGACCCAAAACAAGAGACACTTGGTCTGCTTGAACTTCAGCAACATTAAATGTTTGTGCATCTTGAATATGAATATCTGGTTTCTGCTCTACATATGCTGTAAGTTGCTACCTTATAAAGTAAACTGAATAACCTTGAGGCTTCTTAACCCTCTTAACCTTCGCGGTGCCTCCAAAGATTTTATCACCAGGAACAACAACGGCTTGTTTGTTTGAAGTCCATCATTTGGGAGAAAGATTTCTTGCATAATTTACAAGAATCATGTTTTGGTTCTTTACCTGAGGGAAGTTGCTCTCTCAACTTCTTCAGATTAAATTAAATTAAATCCAAGCTACATTGTTTGTGCTGCTATATTTTAAAGATATTAATAAAAGTTTCCAGAGGTCATCATAGGGCTGGCTGACCTTTGAAGACCTCTGGAAAAGTTTATTCACATCTTTAAAATGATAGCGGCACAAACGTTTGACACCAGTTTAGTTTAAATCTGAAGGTTTCGGGGCCAAAGTCTCCTCTTGTGTTTTTACTACAGTCGACAAAATGTTGGTCACAAGGAAAGAAAGGCCTGGACTCTTTCCTACAAAGAACATGGCTTCTCACTTGTGTGACTGTGAAGGTGACGAATCAAATCAATATTTTTTCTAAAAGATTTTTTGCACAATTTACAGGAAGAAGGCCTTTTATCTTTGTGAGTCTTCTTGAGAAGAGCCAAACAACTGGGGTTGCTGAGAGGCTCACCTGTGTGAGCTCTGCGGTGACGAGCCAAATTACTGCTGTGCTTAAAGGTTCTACCACAGAAGTCACAACAAAATGGCCTCTCATCCCAGTGAATCCTTCTGTGTCGAGCCAAGTAGCTCCTTTTACTGAAGGATTTATCACACAGTTCACAAGGATGCGGTTTCTTGTCTGTGTGAGTTCTAAGGTGACAAGCCAAACTACTCTGGTTGATAAAATGTTTGTCACACAGGTCACAAGAAAAAGGCGTCTGATCCCAGTGAATCCTTCTGTGTCGAGCCAAGTAGCTCCTTTTACTGAAGGATTTATCACACAGATCACAGGGATTCTCCATCTCTGTGTGAGTTCTAAGGTGATCAGCCAAACTACTGTGGTCAATAAAATGTTTCTCACACAGGTCACAAGAATAATGCTTGTCAGCTGTATGAGCTTTATGATGACGAGCCAGATTACTGCTGTGTTTAAAGGTTTTACCGCAAAAGTCACAAGGAAACGGCCTCTCATCTCCGTGAATCCTTCTGTGACGAGTCAAATACCTCTTTTTACTGAAAGATTTATCACACAGTTCACAAGAATACAGCTTCTCATCAGTGTGAGTTTTAAGGTGATCGGCCAAACTGCTATGTTTGCTAAAAGGTTTGTCACACAAGTCACAAAAATAAACCTTTTTACCCGTGTGAGCTCTCCGGTGATGGGCCAGATTGCTACTGTGTCTAAAGGTTCTGCCACAGAAGTCACAAGGAAACGGCCTCTCATCCCCATGAATCCTGATGTGACGAGCCAAATAACTCCTTTTATTAAAAGATTTGTGACACAGTTCACAGGGGTAAGGTTTCTCGTCTGTGTGAGTCGTAAGGTGGTTGGCCAAGCTACTATGTTCGCTGAACTGTTTGTCACAGAAGTGGCAGGAATAAGGTTTGTCAGCTGTATGAGCTTTACGGTGATGGGCCAGATTGCTACTGTGTCTAAATGTTCTCCCACATAAGTCACAAGGAAACGGCCTTTCATCCCCGTGAACCCTTATGTGACGAGCCAAATAACTCTTTTTACTGAAAGATTTGTCACACAGTTCACAGGGATACGGTTTCTCATCTGTGTGCGTTCTAAGGTGTAGCGTTAAAGCCGATTTCCAAATGAAACCTTTTCCACAAGTCAGACATAGGAAAGGCTTCTCCTCTTTATGGGTTTTAAGGTGATAAATCCAATTCTTACGAGCTGTGAAAGATTTTTCACACATGTCACAACAATATGTGTTCTGGTCGCTTCCTTGCTGCTGTGGGTTCAGTTCTGCAGGGGAGTTCAGTGGGACCGGCTGGTTGGAGCTTGGTTCTGGATCAGTGCTGTCATGAGCTGGAGTCACCATCGAGGTTTCAGGCTCCTGCTTCACCTCAAGTAGACCTTCATCCTGGCTGTTGTAGAAATCCTCCGGTTCTGCTTTAATCTCCACAGATTCTGTTTCCTCCTTTATAATCTGCAGCTGTTGTGGTTGGTTGTGGATCGTTTCCCCATAAGCTGGAGTCACCGTAGAGGCGCTGGTCTGCTGCTGCACTGAAAGCTGTTTGTCCTGAAAGACCCACACTTCAACATGTTCTACTTTCTCAAGCTGAGGTTCTGGTTCCTTGTTTGGCTCACTCGCCTGCTGTGGTTCTGCTTCTTCCTGTTCCTCCTTTATTTGCAAATTGTTTGGCGTCTCGTCAGGAATGGAGTTTCTGTCTCCAGTCATCAGAACGCGATCAGGAAGTTCTTCACAGGTAGCGACAGACATGATGCAGTGGAAGATCTGCGGGAATCAAGACCAGCAGAACGCTGTTAACAGAAACTAGGAAGAGTTAAAAGCTCACGAATGTGAACAAGGTTTAATAAGTGAAACTTTGCTTGCAGAATGATGTTAAAACACATTTGCGCTTGAGGGGGATTTATTGAATTTCTTTGTTTCTGTTTCGATGCTTAAAGAATAGTTTAAGGCGTTTGGCCTGGACTGCTTTGAAGCTCTGGTGACGTCTGGTGCTACCATCACCTGTTCTGCTAACCCAGGTCAATTAACCCATTACTGCTGCATTCGCCTCAGCAGCAGCTCCAGCCGAAGCTAGATCATGACTAATCATGTGTACTTAACTATATCCTCCAGGAAGGAAAATGTCCTTTCTGAACTGAGGATGCTGAAAGCTTTAAATGTGATTGAAGTAGCCTGGGCCTGCTAGTCCCCTCTGCTAATGCTAGCTAGTACTCTCCTCCTCCATTATCGGCCTATCATCAGTCAGATCAGTAACTGATGTCAGACTGCATGAAGCCTCCTGTGATAAGAAGTTTGCCTCCTCTGGGTGAGTTAGTTTTAATACATGAAAACTATGGACACACAATAATTAATGTAGACCTTATTAAAATAGATGAGATATGGTTTCTGCTCATATGTTTTGCAAATGTGGCTTAATAGGTTTTTTCACAGTTTTATAACTTTTTTAAAGAGTCAACTGTTCCTGGTTTTGTTTGGACTATTGATGTCACAGCTTTATATTTTTGTTTACTAGTCTCTCTTATTTCTAGGTATGTTATTGGTTATTATTGGTTATTGGCTTTTAGATTAGAAAACTATTGGTTATCTGTGTCAAAATAAAGTTAACATGCATCTCTCATGATAACGTTTTATAAGCTGACAATGAATCCCATCCTGTTCTGACATAATGAGAAGAACTGTGAAAAACTTGACTTGATTTTATTACTGCTCTTCAACAGTTTCTAGTTTAATGCTTCTGTTGTTTGCAGGTTTTTGAAACTCAGCATTTTAATGGAGCATCTTGCTAACTTGTTTCTTAAAGGGAATTCCTTTGTTAAGTAACACCATTACTAATCTGCCTAATCTAAGTATTTTCCTCTGAACTGCTGTGATCATTAAATTAATTTCGGTGTCTTTAATTTCCCCTGATAAGCTGAAAAAGAGAAATATTGGTGGATAAATAATGGATATTTGGCCATTTAGTTTCAGCTATAAATATTAGTTTTATCTCAAGTTAAACTTGTTAGTTGCTTTAACAAAAAAAATGTGTTTGACTCTTATTAATATTTTTGTTACCAAAATGTTTTACTGGTTGTTTTAATAAATGAAAAAGGTTCCAATCCATTCAGAAACTGAACATGTGTGATTGCAAATTTATGGTGTAAATATTGGTTTCAACTGGAGAGCAGATCCGCCTCTGAAGCCAGACTGCAGACACACCCACTAGCATTAGCTGATATCAACAAAGCGCTTTGCTACATTCTCTGCTGCAGATACAGCAGCTTCACTTACCTTTTTACGTTTTTCCCAAACATCAGTGTTGCAGCATTTCCTGTCCGTCCACCTCAGAAAATCTCCGCTTGCTCTTACAGGAACGATGCTGCTGGGAGAAGTACGACAATCTGGACAAATATGAACAGTTTGAATCTGAATAATGTTCCAGTACCAATTGTATCAACATACTGGTTATTTTGACAGCCCTAATTCTGAGTCTGCTTTGTTTTTTTCAAACGCCCAGTCAGCCCCAGCTGCTGGTTAATGAACCAGGCTCAGGTCTGCTGCAGGCTTCTTCCGGTTAAAGGAGAGTTTTCCTCTCCACTGTCGCTACATGCATCTCCAGTTGGAGTGAACGCTGCAAGTCAGAAAAACTTTTAACCAAATTGAATAATAAACAAACTTAATGCATTGTTTAACAGCTAGGATCAACTTAAAATCTGTCTGTATGATTTGATTAAACTGGATTTCTTCTTGTAAAGTGCCTTACAAAGACATGACGTTTAAAATGGATTCAGAATGCACATATGGTAGATATTACCAAATGGTATTTTACCAATTAGTTCCTTTAATAGTGATTAAATCATTCTTTGTTTGGGTTGACAAAATGTGTGTTTGTTCCTGAGGAAGGAAACCGGAACGTTTGACCCAAATGTCATACACGTCAACGGGAATACTGGGGGATGTATGTAAACTTCTGAGGACAGTCAGAAATCAATCCGTCATTAACCTAAAACAACAGAAGTTTAGTCTGATTCGCTTCAGGCGGCGAGGAAAAATTAGCTTTTATGTGTAATCTGTCTGCACAAAGCAACCAAAATCACAGAGTTGCTGGCTAACAAATGATGTTGGTTAAATCAATGAACATGATCAGACCAGTCAATGCTGAGCCAGAGCCAAACAAAATACCACTAAAATACCGGAGAATTTTGTTTCTTCATTGATGAATATTTTTCACATCAATTTTGAGCTACTGTTTCCAGTTTCTCAAAAAATTAAAATGAAAGAAAACAAATAACTATAAACGACGCAAATAATGGAGCTGGACGGGACCTGCTTCCTCCGCCTTATCAACTAGTTCCCTGTTTTCAGTGTTGGTTCATTCAGAACCGAACAGCTGAAATACCTGGCGGTTCTGGGCGGATGGATTCTCTCTGGTGATTAACCTAAGACGTTGATACTACAGACACTGAAATATTCAACTCACACAGCAGAAAACGTCTTTAAAACGACGATAAACAGAAGGTAGCTTGGGAGCTAATGCTGCTAGCGCCTCATTTCCACCGGAAGTCTCACAAGGAGAATTACCCCAGAAACAGTTGTGGCCTCTTTCGTTCCGCCTTCAGCTGCTGTTTTTCTCCTCACGTATTAGCTTTCATTCAAGACATGATTGTATTTTCTGAAATAACTCTGAATAATCTACTAGAAATATTAAAATATTTAAACCTTTATTTGAGCAAAGATTCTATATACATTAACAAAAGAAAATTTGAAATGAAGTAAAACATGCAATTTGTGCAAAATATAGTAACTTCAGTAAAATATTATATTCTGTTATATGCAATATATTTAAGTGCATGTTATTTCACTACATATTTTGTGCCTATTAATGTAGTTTAGATAAATTTTAAATTGAAGTAATTTTAATTTTCTAGATTCATTAACAGATCAGTGTGTGAAATTTCTAAACTAAGGAAAGAAACGTGAATAGCCAGAATAATAATAAAGAACTAATAATGATCCCAACAATGATTCTAACCTGCAATTATCCTGAAACACATTTGCATCTGGGGAAAAAGGACAAAACAAAATAGAAAGTATTCTTCTAAACTTTTATATTTCGATTGTTTAGTAGATTTAGGTCAACCTTAACAAAAACATTGAAAGCAAAACAACATGTAAAAAACTTGATTGGAAATTAGAAGCATCTTCAAGTGTGATGTTTTTAAATGTATTACTTATTTATACTTTCATTGAACAGAGAAAATAGTAAAAATAATCCAGACAATACAGTTTTTTAAACATCAACTGAACTGTAATAAAACAATAAATCAAAATTTTTATAAAAAATTATCATGAGAAGTGATAAATAATAAAACAAATATCCATCGCTAAACTCGATTCTAAACGTAAGATGCTGTGGATTATAAATGTTTATTCCAGTAAATTTTGTTAGTTAAAGCTTAAACTTAATGTAAACACATTCAATTGCTCAAAAAACTTTAAAAGAAAAGAACGTTTCAAACAAAAATTTGATCTTGATGTACTGAACATAATGGTGTTAACAGATGGTAAGAATGTTTGTAAAATCTTAACATATTCAGATTAGAGATATTCTCAAAGAAAACCTGAACTCCAAACACGCTGGTCTGAGGATCTTCATGATGTCAAAGGGTGTACAAATAAAAGCTATGGCTGTTGCACCATGAGCATTTTTCTGGCTGAAAATACTTAGAAAAAGCCGACAAGCTGTGTTTAGACTGAAGTCATGAGATTAGTTCATTAGTTTTCTCTTCAAAAATGTCGAGCCTTTTGCTTTGTATTTTAGAGAGAAATTTCTATTCTTTATACGAGTTTTCTGATGAAGACGCCACAACTCCAAATTCTCTACATCTATTATCAAACAGCACAGAAACAGAGCTACTAGGTTATTACATACTGATAATCAGTTGATGTCGCTACTTGGGAAATTATGATCCAAATTACTAACCATAATATTTGTCTTTTCCATTTGTCAAAAGTTATTCATAGAAAACCCAAACCTACTTTTTCACAACAGGGATTTTAACCAGCTGAAGGAGGAAACAGAACTGGATAGGTTTGAATTAACCTTCCATGGATTCCTCTACTGCTAGACACTTCTAAATCTCTCTGATCATTTGTTCTTCCAGTAAGAAGAATGGTCACATAAGGTTCATAATTGATCAAAGCAGCTGGTCTACTCTGATGCAAACCTGGTTTAAGAAGTTGTGATTCAAAGGAAGATGAGACTGATATGTTGATGTACATTAATTTAATTTACTGCAGCATTAATCCACACAACATCCAGACTGTTAATACATTTTAATGGTTGTCACTTAGTAAATACAGAGAAATGTTATTTTGATATTTCACTTCATGCATCATGTGTGGAAACCCAAAGTAAAACATTGTGACAATGCATTACAGGTTTTCATCTTTTAGAAATCATTCCATAATCAGTGTGGTGTTTCTCTAAACATCACTCCTGACAAACTGCTCAAAAGAACAAAAACAACAAATTGATATTCTCCACTCAGCTAAGACTGGAAATCCACCTGAGAGTAAAAAGTTTTATCAAACAGAACACCACAGGGCTTCAGATCAGATTTAGAAAACTTTTACAAATTGTCAAAAAACAGTCACAGAAAAAGGAAACAGCTACAACAGACATGCTTACCACAGATCTGACAGAGGAAAGGCTTCTATTTTGTGTTAATTCTGACATGGTAATTCAAACTACTTTTATGGCTGAAACCTTTTCCACATGTTCCACAAAAAAAAGGTTTGTCTCCTGTGTGAATTCTCATATGTACATCCAAGCTATGTTTGTGCCTAAAACACTTTCCACAGGTTCCACATGAGAAAGGTTTCTCACCTGTGTGAGTTCTCACATGGCCTTTCAAAACATTTTTTTGACTGAAACATTTTCCACAAGCTTCACATGAGAAAGGTTTCTCACCTGTGTGAGTTCTCATGTGCTTAAGCAGATTAGTTTTTTCAATAAAACCTTTTCCACAGGTTTCACATGAGAAAGGTTTCTCACCTGTATGAGTTCTCATGTGGCTTGTCAAATGACTCCTTTGATTGAAACCTTTCCCACAGGTTATACACAAGAAAGGCTTCTCTGCTTTGTGAATTATCATG